ATCTTCCAGGGATGCCAGGTGGGCTGGTTTATTTTTTTGTGACTGACTCGAGTTCCTGCGGTGCAACACAGCCTGGAGAGACCATTCTAGAAAAATGAGTTGCCCAGTGCAGCCCTGGGCTTCTGGGGGAAGCTCACTCAGGCACCCACCGCGGCTGCAGAGGTGCAGGCCCCGCCCCGGGCCCGACTAGCCCCGCCCCACCCCGCCACCAGCGGACCGCACTCTGCAAGGCTAGTGGGGGCCCCGCTGCACAACGAGGTCGGCGCGCAGCTCCCACCGCGGGTTGCTGGGGCGCTGTCCAGGAGGAGCCGGCCCGGCTCGGGCTGCAACCATGGTAAGGAGAGCGGGCAGCCGGAAACGCAGGGCCTGCCACTCCCGGGCGGCTCCGAGGGGACGTAAGGCGCTGCAGCCCTTGCTGGGCAGGGCGGGAGGTACTGTCCCCGGCCCCGGGTTCTGACTAGGCATTGCTGGCGCTAGGCGCCGCGTCGCCGCTCTCAAGTTTATTCCTTCTGAGTGGAGCTGCTTCGAGCCTGCCGCGACCCTCAGGGTGCTACCCAAGGTCTTGGAGGAAGGAAGGAATAGGTCAGTTCTGTGGGAGGCGCCAGCTGGTGCTGGAGAGGACCGCACTGAAGAGGATGGTAAGGGATCTCTGCCCTTGCCGGAATCAGCTGTGTTGCCTGGATGACCCTTCCTCAACTCACCTCCCCAGGGTGCAGAGACTAGCACCAACTTCCTTTGGAAAACATGGAAGAAATCCATAAACACTGACAACCTCACTAAAGGGGATGATGACATCTATGACCCACATCCCCCGGACCCTTCTCAGAGAGGAAGAGGAAAGTCCGGTCCACTCTTGTGTAGGGGCCAATCAGCTCTATCCCTTTGCCTCCCAGACCAGAACCATGGGAAACATTCCTCCTGCTGCATCTACCCCCTCCCTGCAACTAGGTCCCTCTGCAGTGTGTGGGGGTTGGGGGGGGGAACTCATTCCTGCCACCTGCCTGTGAGAAGAGAAGCTGTAACCCCAGATAAAAGTTTTCACCCTTGGCTCTTCGGCTGTTGTTGCCAGATACTGCCAGAAACACAATGTATTGGTTTCAGGCTTCCAGGCCACACACCATCCTCTTCTTCCAGACCTTGCCTTCTGCATGGGGAGACACAAGCTGTTTACAGCAGGAGGGGATTGGTGATCAGCCCACAGGATGTTGGCTGTGAGCAGCTGCCAAAAGGGAACTCTCCCGGCCCCATGGAAGCTGAGGCTTTCAGGTCTGGAAAGGCCAACCTTTTGGGCTCTTGTCTCTCAAGCTGTGTCTAGGCAGAAGCCCAAGTTTTTGGCCAGGAAGTGTTAGTGACCCTATGACCTACTCCAAAAGGGGTTCCTGGGAGAGGCCAAGCAGTGCTTGTCCTTATCCCAATCTCCCCCACCTTCTTCCCACATGGGAGATGGACAGACTGATTGTTCCAATACAGAAGCCCGGGGAAGCACTGATTACCCCCAGTGCTAAACCCAGCAGGAACCAGGGGCTGCTTTTTCTGCCACACAGTAAGTTCAGTTCAACTGAGGTCTTTGGGCTTTCAACTTGGATGAGGCCACCCTGCTCTTTCCTAACCAAAGACACCCCAACACTACCCCGATGTCCAGTTTCAGGCCTCTGCCCTCACAACCAGCCAAGTGCTTGGGCTGACTGGTTCATGTCAGGCCACACTTCTCTATGTGGTGTCTTGCCAACGGACAAGCCAGTACCCTTTGGAAATCAGTGGGGAGACCTCCTGAAGAGCTCTGGGAAGTTTAAAATTCCGCATGAAAAGAATGATGACCGGACACTATTGATGGCTGGTTTGTGACTTGAGATGCACTGCAGCTTTAAATCAGCTTGAGGTATTTGTTACTTGGGAGTGCTTCCTCTCCTCAGCTGTCTTGGGGCAAGGAAAGGAAGGACATTAAAGCCTTAAAACTAAGACTGTTCAGGATCACAAAGGGTATTTCTGCCCCAACCAGAAATACTGGCCTCCTGACTCCTAGTGGAATGCTCCATCTGTACACCCCAGCTAAGACCCCTCAACTGGTCTATCTAAATGGCAGTTCTCAGTCCAATGGGATGCCAGCCTCCTTTGATTTGAACCCATGTTTCCTAGTGATTCTGTGGAAAAGGTGAGGTAGTAGGATATAGGTCTTTATGAGTATAGAGGTCATGGATGTTTGGATGGCTGGAATCCATGGAGCAAAGACTCCTTTGGGGTTGGTGTTCCCTGCAGAGAAATCTAGTTTTCTGGACAGTGGGACAACAGCTTCTTCCAGTAGGGAAAGACAACAGGACACTTGGGAAGAAGCACAGGGCCATTCCCATGGTACCTTTATGCAGGGGATTTTTGGGCATTCCCACCCTTTATTGTTGCTTAAAGTTAAGGTAAGAGAGATGGAGGGGTGTTGGGATCTTTGGACAGAGGTTCCTTGGGTGGCTGTTGCCATGTACTGATGGGCCGGGTCACCTTACAGATACCTCCTAGTCCTCAGGCAGGCTTCAGTGTCCTTAGCGGTTAACAGGAGAAGCCAAGTGGCTCAAGCCTGTGCTGCAGCTTGTTGGGAGGTTGGTGCTGTGCCCACCAGGGCAGGAAGCAGGCAGGCTTCATGGGATAGCGAATCAGAGGAGGAGGGGACTGCAGAGGAACCCAGTGATCCCACTGCAGCTGAGCTGACCTTGGCGGGTGGGAGCCCAGGGGAGGGGAAGAGGAGGTGGAGAAGAACATTCCACAGGCTTTTTTGGCCCCTGCCAGAGACACAGTAGGGTCAAAGAGAAAGGGAGAAGGAACAAACCAGGAAGCCAGAGGACAACAAGAGCATCAAGACAAGCCTGTTTCTGTGTGAGGACCTTTGCCTGGAGATAAAGCTAGACCTAGAGCTTGCTGACAGGGGTCTGAAGTGGGGCATGGACCATTCACTGGGATGGCAAGGGAACTCTGTCCCTGAGGATGGGACTGAAGCTGGGGTAAGGTGGTGCTCGGGGAGGTGGGTAGACCTAACTGGTCTTCCACTTGGCCTTGACTGGCATAGGGGCTCATATTGGAAAATGGTTTGGTCCCTGGCAGAGCTGGGGAAGGGGATAGACAGATGGGCAAAGAACCTGGTGCCTTCAACTCTGTCTGGAGCCCTTTGGCCTTCCTCATGCTGATGTACGTTCTGGCAGGGAAGACAGTGGTGCTGGGGTCCTGGTAGCTCTGCCGGAAGACTGTGGGCTTGGGATTTCCATCAGTGCTTCCTGTCTGCCTTCCTTGTTGTTGTTCCTTCTGCCCTGTGCCCCAGAGAGAACACAGTCCTTTCTCGCATGCTTAGCAGGACCCCCAAGATCAACTTCTGTGTCACCGTGTGGTGATGCAGGGAGATTTTCTGGAATTCCCCAGACTCATTAGCGGCCAGACAAAAGCCTTGTTCCATCCTTTCTCTGCTGCTGTATAATTAATTTGGCCAAGCCGGGGGCAACAATTAATCATTATGTTAGACCAACAAGCATAAACTGGGTTATATGGTTACCCCACTGGACCTCAGATACAATGGGTGAGAGGAGCCTGTATAGTCAGGCTTGCCTTAGCATAGCCTCTTGGGGGCACTAAGGTCCATATGCTGGTCCCACTTTCCTCCTTCCTGTCCAAGCAAAGCCTGAAGACTAGTGATGAGCAGGTGTAGGGACCTAAGTGGTGCCAGACTCTTCCCTCTAACCTCCCCTTCTCTGTCTCTTCTAGCATAAACCCGGCAGTGTGCATGTCTGTCTCTTTCACTTCTGACCTTCGTGAAATGGGGGTATGCAGGAAGGCTGTGGCCATCTTATCTCTCCTGCTCTGGCTGAGACTTCACAGTGGTCCAGGGTAGCCCCGCTGGCTTGGCCAGTCCCCAGAGGGTGACTCAACCTCTGCAGCTGGCCCTTGTCCATTGTCTGGGGGTGGCACGTGGATGTTGTGAGACAGAGATGAGCCCAGCACTGCCAGGCACCCCACAAAGAATGCTGACCCCTCAAAAGAGAGGGGAAACTCTTGGGAAGCTTATGGCTATGGGAGAGCTAAGGGCAAGGGTAGAAGAAACCACTCACCTTCCATGGTGATGGTGGAACAGGCTTCTGCAGGGAAGCCAGTCAGTCTCTCTTTCTCATCCCCCACATTCTTGGCTCCTAGATGGGGCCTGTGACCCTTTCTGTACTGCTGAGTTCAGGGAAAATGGGCAAGGAGGCAGCCAAGGGGTCCCTCCCCTAGATGTCGTTCCCAGTGTATGGCACATTTTTAGAGCAGGCAGTCTAGCCATAGTTTGGCCCTCCCAGGCCTTTTCAGCTCTTTCACCTGGCTGTTCCTGGCTGCCCTCCATATTTAGCATCCATGGGTTGGGGTCGTGCCCGGGACTGGACTTGTTACTCTTAAGTTGTGGGGTTTAGGGCCAAATTTGGGTATGGTTCAGCATCTAGATTAAGAGTAGGGTCAGTGGGCTTAAATTCTGGGCAGCAAACCTGGAAAATGAGCCCCTGTAGTAGAATATGCACCTAGAGCCCCAGCACTGTCAGAGGCAATGAACCCTCTGCCCGAGGACAAGCCCCTCTCCCCACCCTGCCTGCCAGTGCACTTCTCTGATGCTGCGCTTCTCTTGAGTGACACGCTCAGGTTGTAGGCCTCTGCTCCTCGCCTTTTCTTTCGGTCTGATTTCTTTGCCGTCGGGAGAGTAGCTGGCCCCCTGGCTAGGGCAGACCCTTAGAAATGGCAGCTTCAGTGGTACTCTGGTGGCAGATCAGGGCTTTGTAGAGCTGGATCCCTGGGCCCTTCCCAGTCTCTTGGCTTGGGGAGGCTAGTGAGCAGGTGGTGTGGGGGTGGGGGTGGGGAATAGGCGTGAGCACGGCGCTGCTGCTGTTTCTTTCCCTTCTAACCACAAGTACTTTCCTTCTTTCCTTTTCACCTGCCTTTTGCCTCAAACTTCCCATCCTGCCCCCTTCTGCCACTCCCACCTACTCTACCCCAACCCCCAGATCAAGCGTTTCCTGGAGGACACCAGTGATGATGCCGAACTGAGCAAGTTTGTGAAGGATTTCCCAGGAAGCGAGCCCAGCCACCCACCGGAGGCCAAGACCAGGGTGTCCAGGCCCCAAATCTTGGAGCCCAGGCCCCAGACCCCAGAGCTCTGTGATGATGACCTGGAGTTTAGAGGCAGCTTGTGGCCCCAGCCCTCTGACAGTCAGCAGTACTTCTCTGCCCCAGCCCCTCTCAGCCCTTCCTCCAGGCCCCGAAGCCCGTGGGGCAAGCTTGATCCTTATGATTCCTCTGAGGTAGAGACTCCAGCCCCACCTTTGCCTCTCAGTGGGTGGGTGCAGAGCGACCCGGGGAGGGCAGAGAGAGTCCAGAGTAGCTGTGTGTTCATGTGCGAGTGCATCAAATGTGTCCATAGGGCCTTTCTGTCCCGCATCAGCCCCGCCTCTGTGGTTTCTGCCTTGAAGGCATGGGGAACTCAGAGTAATAGCAGGGACTGAAGACCTGGCCAGAGGCCTCAGGTGGGAGCTCTAAGGATGGGGCAAGGATCTAGTAGAGGAAGGCTGGCGATCGGAGCTTCTTCTCACCGTCATGGCTTCTGTCTTCCTGTCCACTAGGATGACAAGGAGTATGTGGGCTTTGCAACCCTCCCCAACCAAGTCCATAGGAAGTCTGTGAAGAAAGGCTTTGACTTCACACTCATGGTGGCAGGTAGGAAGGGGCGAAGGCTGGGCTGGGCCAGGGCTGTTTCGGGTAGAGTTGATGTGTGTGTCTGCTGAGTGCGTGAGGAGGGAAAGAATGAACAAACAAACGACCAGGTTCTTTTTTTTTTTTTTCTTTCTTTTTTTTCAAAATCACGTAAAACATGGCCCAAAATGTGCAGATATGGAGGGAGGAGGGAGGGGAATGAAGCACTTGACTAACAGTTTTCTAGTATTTCCCACTTGCTACCTTGGGCAGTGTCTTGTCTTCATTTAATCAAGATGACTGCACAAACTTCCAGCTCGAAATACTGGGCTTTGGCTGCTCTAGCTCCCATTGGCAAGACAGTAGTGTGTTCTAGATCTTGATCACGTGGATCTTGCCTTCTGAGTTGGTGCCTCTGTCTTCCCTCCCTAGGAGAATCGGGCCTGGGTAAATCCACTCTTGTCAACAGCCTTTTCCTCACTGACCTGTACCGGGATCGGAAACTCCTCGGTGCTGAAGGTAAGGAAAGGAGGAGGAAGCTGAACTCCCTACAGGTGCTGGAGACGGGCCTCTCTCCGGCATGTTGGAAGGTCTGGCTTCCTAGAGAGACGTGTGGCTTTTTTCCATAGACCTGTCTGGCCTGGCAGTTCACCAGCCAGCTCCTAAAGCTCTGGGTGCTGTGCTGGGTGTGGTGGTACACACCATTAGTCATAGTACAAGGAGGCAGAGGCAGACAGGGCACGATAAGTTCAAGGCCGTCCTGGTCTACAGAGTTCTAGGCCAGCCAAGGCTACCCTGTCTGAGGGAATAAAAAAAGATTTGGGTGCTGAGGCAGGGCAGGGACAAGAATCCTGATCTTTCAATGAGTTTTTGACCCCTGAAGGATTCCAGGAATCCAAGCAAAAAAGCCTGGATCAGAGAAGAAGCTGGGGCCAGAGCCAACAGCCACCGGCATTTCCTGTGTTGGGAAATGTGGTTTTTGCTGGTTCCCAGGGAACAGGCCCTCAGGCGCCTAGGGGTGGAAAGGGAGGCCGTCTGGGCAGCAGAGCTATCTGGGGTGGGCTTTTTTTTTTTTTTTTGACTGGGCAGGACGATGCCCTTGCCCTCGCCTCAGTTTCCCTCTCCTCCAGAGCGGATCATGCAAACTGTGGAGATTACTAAGCATGCGGTGGATATAGAAGAGAAGGGAGTGAGACTGCGGCTCACCATTGTGGACACTCCAGGGTTTGGAGACGCAGTCAACAACACAGAGTGGTATGTCCAAACAAGCGCCCCAGCTGCCCCTGCCCCGCCCACTTACCGCGTGCATCCACACAGGTCACACACGGTCACGGACAGGCATATTTGCTAGGAGTAGGAGTCCGTGACCTCGCTGGACAGCTGGATTCCTTTAACTGGACAGCTGTCTCTTCTGTAAAATAAGAGGGAAAGGACCAGAATGGATGGTTTTATTTATTTTTGAAATACACAGTCTTACTGTGTAGCCCCAGCTGGCTGGAACTTACTATGGAGCCTAGGCAGGCCTTGACCTCAGAGATCTGCCTTCCAAGTGTTGGGATTAATATTTTTTTAGATAATGTCTCTTGCTGTATAGTCTGCGACCCACTATGCAACTCAGTCTAGCCTTGAACTCAGGGGTTCTCTTGAATTAGCTTTCCAAGTGTTGGGACTGCAAATATGTATTACGGTGCGCAGCCCTGAATAGATGCTTTTTTTTCTCCTGTTTTTTTTTTTTTTTTTTTTTTTTTTTTTTGAGACAGGGTCTCTGTGTAGCCTTGGCTGTCATGGACTCACTTTGTAGATTAGGCTGGCCTCGAACTCACAGAGATCTGCCTGCCTCTGCCTTCCTGAGTGCTGGTATTACAGGCGTGTACCACCGCGCCTGGCTTGAATAGATGCTTTTAATATTCTTTCCAGTTCTGACATGTAATCTTATGTTTGTGGGGACTTAAGGAGAAAGCCTCAGAAGAGCAAACACCTGTGAAAGCCTATAGGCGCAACATAAACACTGTCATCTCTCCTTTCTCTCCTTTCCCCAGCTGTTATTTTAGGTGCTGCAAACAAAGTTTGTTTAAGGGGGAAATAAAGGGAGGTGTGAAGGAAAGAGAAGCAAAAGAGCAAAGGGAAAAAAATAGCCAGGGGAATGCGAGGAGGGCAGAGTGATGCACCATTGGAATCTTGGGAGCTGGAAGAAAGACCAGTTCCAGGCCAGTCTCAGCTCTGAAGACTGGGTTATGGAGACACTGTCTCAAAAAAACAAAACAGAACAACAAAACTGAAAAAGAAAGAGTTAGGGGAGGGTGGAAGGAAGAAGAAAAAGAAAGGTGCTCCAGGCACCCTTCAGACCACCTAAGGAAAGAAAGGTGGGTTTGATACATGCACAGGCTCGTACCCTTAGCTTTCATTTTTTTCATGAACTAGAGGAATGCTTAGGTAATGGTCACACATAAGTGAGTAGGTACAGGTAATGAACAAAAAAGGCAGGAGAAAAGGGCAGTGTGTTTGATGAAGACACTGGGCAGATAGCACCAACAACACAAATTTTGGCATTTAGCAACTGCATGATTTTGAGCAAATGGTTGCATTCTTTCTAATGGAAAACAAAACAAAACAAAAGCCCCCCCCCCAAAAAAAAACAGTCATTTCTTCATCATCTGTTTGATCTGAAAATAATTATGTCTGTGGATTTTAGCAATGGTAACTGCAAGGCCAGCAACAAGATTTGTGGGTCCCCTTATTTATAAGAACATCAGACCGAGTGTGGCCTTCCTGAGTGCAGATTCCTGTGTGTCTGCACAGGCTGACACACCCATGGTGCTTACCCCGAATCTTACCATCTCACTGACTAATCTGACCCTCATAGACCTTTCTAAACCCTCATCACCTGCTTTGTCATTACACCACGTGGCTATCTGTCCTCACAGACAACTGGTTCATCATCAGCTTCGTCTGAGCCTTGACTGGATGGCCATCTCTTACATCCTCGGTACAGCACTGTGTTAGTTTGTGGTACATGGTCTTGTGGTTTCCATCAGTGTTTCTGATGGGCTACGATGGCCCTATGTTGATCTCTGTAGACACCTTGTCCGGAAATTCTAATCCCAGCTAGTACCTGGTCTCTGCTGTAGCAGGTACCACATCCAATCCACTTACCTCCTTTTAAATAAATAATTTCAATTTCAGTAAGGATTCCTTTTCAGTAGTAACAGTTCTCATATAATTCTACTTCACTGTTTATAGTACCTTCATAGATACTAATTGAGTCATCCAGCAGGAGTAAGTGGGGCATAAACATATGAGGTGGACATTCTTAGGGGGATACAGAGCAAATATGAATGATCTTCATCCCTGAGAGGCATACAGCCTGGTGGTAGTGGGGGAGCAGAGGGAGAGCCACTTTGGTTTTGTTTAAAGATTTATTTATTATGTATAATGTGTTTTGCTGCATGTGCGACAGCAGGCCAGAAGAGGACAGCAGATCTCATTATGGATGGTTACGAGCCACTTTGTGGTTGCTGGGAATTGAACTCAGGAGCTTTGGAAGAGCAGCCGGTGCTCTTAACCTCTGAGCCATCTCTCCAGCCTGGGAGAGCTATTTTGTAATGAGTTGTGTCCATCAGGTAATGAATGGGTCAGGCCATGTGCAGCTGCTCACACTGAGCTGGCAGTCGTATAGCCAGGCACTCTCTAGTGGTAGAGAACTACCACTAAGTAGTTCTCTAACTGCCAAGTTTCTTGAGGATTAGATTTCATTTCTTCATGTATAAAATGTGAATGCTGAGCTCAAAGTGCTGGTGTCACAGCAGTGAGGATTAAACTAGATAATAGAAGAGCAAGACCTAAAAAATGAAGTAGTTGTTGTTCTTCTTCAAAAAGATAGGGTTTCTCTGTGTAGCCTTGGTTGTCCTAGATTTGCTCTGCAGACCAGGCTGGCCTCGAGCCCACAGTGATCTGCCTGCCTCTGCTTTCCCGAGTGCTGGGATTACAGGTGAAAATGAAGTTTTTAAAGCGCGCGCACACACACACACACACACACACACACACACACACACACACACACGGAGAGGGCCTTTGTTTAACCATGGGGACACATTTCGAAAAACAGATCATTAGGTGATTTCATCATTGAACGAACATCATAGAGTTTACTTAACACAAACCCAGATGTTATAGATCAGTTACTGCACATGACCTCTCAAGGGGCAAGAGACCGAATATGAGATAAATGAGGCTGCTGTTGGCATGGCGCAGCCATTGTTTTACAGTAACCCTTTTTAAAGTAGAAAGCATATACTATAGTATGCTACAGTGAATGAAGTGACAGCCATTTGTTATCGCTGTTAAGTGATAATTTTTTGTGCTATACTTTAAAAAAAAATACTTCTTATAGATTTACTGTCTGTGTCTATGGTGTGTTTGTGCCATGGCATGCATATGGAGATTAGACGAGAATGCTGTGGAATCAATTTTCTCCTTTTACCTGTGTGGCTGGGATTGCACCCAAATCCCTAGGCTTGTGTGACAAGCATTCTTACCAACTGAGCCCTCTCGTCAGCTGGCTTTTTGTATGCCAGGCAGCACATGTAACTCAAAGGTGCTCTGATGTTAATGATGGCCAGTATTTTGTAGCTCAGTTATCTTGTGGGACTGGTGAAATATATGGATTCAAAGTCGACCTGAAACATCGCTTCCTGGTGGATGACTGTGTAGAGGAATATGCATATGCTGTGTAGAGGAGAGCAGGGTGCACTGATGTAGTCAAAGGTAACCCTCATGGAAGAACTGGGTGGGATAAGAAGGACAAGGTCTGGAGAGGCAAAGGCCCTGAAGCCAGACTGTGACCTTGACTTAGGGTTTCCCTGGTTTCTGACTGCATTCACCTGCTGCCACTTTGCTGTTCTTCTCTGCCTGGTCACCCTTCAGCCCCTTCTGCTCATCAAATGAGTATTCATTGAACCGCTTATGTACCCAGTCTAATTTTCTGTGAAGACATGAAATGCTCCCACTCGACCGAGGTATTCCCCTGAAAGAGTAGGAAAGCAAAACATGGCTCCAGCCAGAGTTCCCCAGGCAGCCCCCACTCCCACAGTTTCTCTGCTTGTCTGTCCTTGCCCCAGCTGGAAGCCTGTGGCTGAATACATCGACCAGCAATTTGAGCAGTATTTCCGAGATGAGAGTGGCCTGAATCGCAAGAACATCCAAGACAACAGGGTGCACTGTTGCCTGTACTTCATCTCACCCTTCGGCCACGGGTATGGTCTGAGCCTGAGGCTCCTGACACCACCGGGTTCTACTAAGGGAACAGGCCAAGAGCACCACGGGCAGGGCTACCACTAGCAGGTGGTCACAGATTCCTGTTCCCCAGGCTCCGGCCATTGGATGTTGAATTCATGAAGGCCCTGCATCAGCGGGTCAACATTGTGCCTATCTTGGCTAAGGCAGATACATTGACGCCTCCTGAAGTGGACCGGAAGAAATGCAAAGTGAGGGAAGCTGATGGAGGGAGGGAATCAGGTGGGTTTCTAGAAAGGATGGGGTACCCAGAACTGTGGACCCCTCATCTGTTTGCCAGATTCGGGAGGAGATTGAGCAATTTGGAATCAAGATCTATCAGTTCCCAGATTGTGATTCTGATGAGGATGAGGACTTCAAATTACAGGACCAAGCCCTAAAGGTGGGGCCAACCCAAGGGCACCCCCTTCCCATCTTGTTTCTGCTGGGCAGAAGAGGGGAGTAGAATTCCATATGAGGACAGCCTGTTGGGGTGGAAGAGGACCCTGTCTTCTTAGAGCAAAGCAGAAGATACAAGTGGAAAGGAACAGGTGAGAACAAGGATGCTGACGGGCAACCGTAACTTCTTTTAGGAAAGCATCCCGTTTGCGGTGATTGGCAGCAACACTGTGGTAGAAGCCAGAGGGCGGAGAGTTCGAGGCCGGCTGTACCCTTGGGGCATTGTGGAAGGTAAAGCTCTGAGCTTGCGCTCTGCGCGTCCTTGCCTTTAGAGGCTCTCTATCTCTAACCCTGGCTGACGCCTAGCCTTGCTATGCAGTGGAAAACCCAAGTCACTGCGACTTTGTGAAGCTGAGGACAATGCTGGTGCGTACCCACATGCAGGATCTGAAGGACGTGACCCGAGAGACACATTATGAGAACTACAGGGCACAGTGCATCCAGAGCATGACCCGCCTAGTAGTGAAGGAACGGAATCGCAAGTATGACCAGAAGCCAGGACTAAGCTGGCCAGGGGGATCCCAAGTCCTCCCCTTATTACTCTACAGGCCCCAGGCTTCACTCAAGTCGGTGCTGGGGTACCCCCAACCTTACTACCCTCCTTTCCCCCTCCCTTCAGCAAACTGACGAGAGAGAGTGGTACTGACTTCCCTATCCCTGCTGTCCCACCAGGGACAGATCCAGAAACTGAGAAGCTAATCCGGGAGAAAGATGAAGAGGTGAGAGCAGTATGCTGTGGCTGTCAGCCTGGGAAGTCCCCTGTGTGAGAATTCTCAGTATCTCTTGGCTTGGGAATAGCAGGACCCCTGGCTCTGGTACAGATGTGGGGTATTGAGTGGTTCTGCCATTTTCATCATACCCATGGGCTACCAAGGCCCCAGACTCAAGGGTTTACAATCTGGGGACACATCTCCAGCCCAGTAAGACCCTCCCTATCAAACACCCTGTTTTGATGTATGTGCGTATTTCAGCTGCGGCGGATGCAGGAGATGCTACACAAAATCCAAAGACAGATGAAGGAGACTCACTAACTGGCTTTTGGACCTGAATATTTAAACCTCTTCTTCCTGCCCATGCCAGCTCTCCCTGCACCAGCTCTGCTCAGGCTCCCCGCAGCTACTACCAGTTCGCCTTATATCCCTGCAGACTTCTCAAGAGACTCAGAGGAAATAAACTTTAACCTATACGTGGCTTTTGGTGTCTCTATTTTTACTATATCCTGGAAACATAGCTCCTATGACTCAGTTTGAAAGGCTGATGGAAGTGGGTATTGGTTTCTGGCTTTTAGTAGGAAATGGAAAGAGAATTTCCTCTTCCCTTATTGATGAGTTCACTCTTACAACACAGCTTGTCCTATTCTTATTGACCGTTTCTATTCTGCCTCCATTATCTGGGCCCCAAGTTCCATGTTTCCCACATACAACACCATTTTGTAGCTGCTCTTGGGGAAAAAACAAGGTATTAACCATGTATGGCAACCTTCGACTTCCTGCTTTCCCCAGGTTTGGGTACACAGATATGTAGAATTAAGCTCTAAATCCCAAGAAGCTTTTGGCAGAGCACTGAACAAATCCTGAAGGTCCTGTAATTAGACTGTGAGCGCTGAGGAAAAACAAAACCCTATCATAGTCCCCAAGGATCTCAGGATCAAGCCATCAGCTCGGTTACATACCCCGGTTCTAGATCCTGAGAATTAAAGAGTGAATTTAGGAGAGGTTTCTGTTTTCCAAGGACTTAGTAACTACTAAACGTAGCCTGCTTTCTAAGTGCTCAAACCCACTCCAGAACTTCGGTTATCGGTTGAGAATCGGAGTCTTTCCCATTTCTGTTTGGTTAGTAGTGGCGCGGGTCACGGAGACCTCCGTCCTGGTGAGAGTCTTGTCCCTACCCCCTTCACAGCCTAGGGAGCTGCAGCTAGCTAATGGCAGTCAGACCCGGTTTTCCTCTGTTGGCTGAGAGACTCAGGACTGGCTGCCAATGCAGGTCTCGAAGGACGGCAAGGGCGGTCGTCGATAAAAATCGGAGGTTAAAAACCAGTCCGGACACGCAACGGGCGACGCCAGCGCCGCCAATCCCAGAGCGCCTCATTCCTAGGCCTTCTAGAGGAGTCAGTCAGCTCCTTTAGCTCTTGCTTTTCTGTAGCTTCAGCGGTCCACGAGCCCAGCTCTTCTCTTTGGCGGGGCTAAGCGATTCCTCCAGAAGGATTTTCTTTTCCATCGACGGGGGATGAAAAACAAGGGAGTGATGGCGCTGGAAGGGCTGGGAAGGGCCATGGAAATCTAGTCCTCTCCCCTTCTTAGCCTGCGTGCTTTCCTCCCACTCTCGGGCTACCGGAGCGAAACAGAAACACGAGCGGATCAGAACGCGGGGCCACCGAGAAGCCCTTTGACGAACTACTTCTAGGGCGGGGTCGTGACCGGAAGTGACTGCAGAACCTCCCCTGCAACGTCCCGCCCCCCCCCCCCCCCCCTTGCTCTCCCCGCTCGGCGACCGGCCGCCGTACTTCCTGTCCCCGGAGCCCCAGTCTGCAACCCCTCTTGCTCCTGTCCCATTGGCTGCCACGGGGACGCGCTGTGATTTCCTATTGGTCGCGCCGGCTCCCTGGCGCCAAGCCCCCTCCCTCCAGGCACTGTCTGGTCTCTGGGTGCCGGATAGGTTACCGGCCGAGAGGGCGTCTGCCAACCGAACCAGTGAGCGGCGCGGAGAGTGAGGGCGGCGGCTGCGTGGTAAGGCAGGGCGGGATTTCGTGTGGCCATTGGCCAGGGCGGGTAGAGGCTGGAGATGCGATTGGTTGGGGAGAAGGGACCGTGGTGGGGTTCGAGCTGCGCGGCCTCAGCAGCTGCGGGAGACGGAAGTGGTGAGAGCGCGGCTTTGGAGGGTCGGGCGGACGCCGCCTGGGTGAGTCACTGTACCCCGTGCACTGCCAGCCTGGGAACCACAACGACCAAGTCCTGCCCGGCCCTCACCGGCTCTCTCGAGCCCCGCCCTCTGTCATTTGGGGCTCCGCCTCCGAGCTTTTAGCCCCGCCCCCAGAACCTGGGCACCTGGCTCTCCTGCCGCCCTAGCCCGTCCCCCCCCCCCACCCCAAGACCCGATTCCCTAACTGAGGAAACCCTGGGCCTCCTAGGCCTGGTCCTTGTGGCTCCTTTCGTCTATCCGTTTCTCAGGCGGCGTGCCAGTGAGCCGTGAGGCAGCACCTCCGGCTGGCCGCTTGCGGGCTCCCCCGTGAGGGAGGGAAGGTTGGTAGGATCACAATGGAGGTTTTAATCGCGGTAGCCCCCTGTGGGGGCTCTGGTGCACATCCCTCGGGCATACCAAACATGAAGGAGTGCCAGTGAAACTCAGACCTGGCTCCCTAAGTGGGCCTAGGAGGCCTTAACTTGAAAGCCTTGTTAATTCGACCCATTTGACAGATGTTGCCTCCCAGGCCTGGCTGGCCTGATTCTGCTCCTGTTGTGTGGTCTCCTCCCTCTAACCTTCACCTACTTGGTCTCAAGTATGCTCAGCAGGACCGGGCCAACCCTGCTGCTCTTTTATCACAGGTTGTGGTCCTCTCCCTCTTGTCCTCTGCTCTGGACTCTGCCCCCAGTAACAGGTCAGGTGGGTGCTACTCCTAGACTCAGAGACTGGCCGAACAGCCCTGTGGATTCACGCCCCTACCAGGGCCAAAAGTGAGTCCCAGCTGGGCAGTCTTTGCTTCAGAGTTGGCGTTTCTTCTCTTTTGTAAAGAGCAGGGTTTGGAGTGCTCTACTTCTGGGTGTGGGGATCAGAACGCTTGAGTTCTGCTGAGTAAGCTTGGATGACACTTACTCTTGCTCCGGAACTTTTGTGGTGGACTTCTCACCGGCCAGGGTCACTTGTTGCTTCTCGCATTTTCTGACTGGTACGATGACGCCTTGAGAGTCTGGATCGTAGGTGACAGAGGAAAATGAGGGGTAGAGTACAGGGGTAGATCCATTACATCTGTGGATCCCATGGGGATGTTAACGGTGCACTGTGCTCTTGTGTTCTGTCTCCTTTAGTGACAAGCAGGCAGCCAGGACCCTCGCCAAGGTAGAATGGTGAGTACTCCTGTTTCCTCATACCACTGTGTGTAATCCTGGAGTCTGTCTCTGCGATGCCGCCCCAGTGCTCCAGGGTACTTGTTTCACTTCCTAAACTTAACCTTACTCTGCCCTGAGAAATTGTTTCTTTTTTCTGTGGTGGGTGTTGTTTTGAGACAGGTTTTTGCTATAAAGCTCTGGCTAGCCTGGTACTAGAGATGTAACTCTCGTTGGCCTTGAACTTGTGACAGTCCTTCTGCCCCAGTCTCTTAAGTGTTAGGATTGCAGGAGTATGCAGTGTGGGGCTTTACACATGGCAGGCAAATCCTCTAACACTGAGCTATGTATCTAGCTTATGGTTTCTTAGGATTGAAAAAAAAAAACAAAAAAAAAAAAACATGGCGCTACACAGCACTGTGCTGTATTGTCGCCCCTATATTGACAAATTGATATATTTCCTCTTGCTTCTCTTGGGTCCCTGGTTAAACTCCCCGTATTCTCGTCTAAAAAAACAAGTCTTTCTTATCTAAGATTCCTGAACTTTATGATGGCGTAGTGGCACAGACTTTTAATAACATCACTTGGGGGCGGGGCAGAGTCAGGTGAATCTCAAGTGAGTTCAAGGTCAGCCAGGTCTATGTAGTGAGTTCCAGGACTATGTAGAAAGACCCCGTGTCTTTAAAAAAAAAAAAAAAAAAAATTAGATCCCTGAACTTCTGGTACGTCTCATGACTGTATCGTTGGTGCTGTCCCAGGAGTGACTCCACACAAAATTGTAGGCCTCTCCCAGCTCAGCTCCCACGTGTTGCTGTCTGTTAACCCACCTCAGGTGACAGCTGGCGAATATCTTTCCTGGGATCCGAATTCTGAAGGTGTCCAGACCATCAGTGGGGGTGGCACATCTTGGTCCTAGTGTGAGATCGGGGACTCCAGCAGTCAGAGGAGGAAGAAATGCTGGAAGCCTTTTCCAGACAAGATTCCTCCTTTGGCTGCATCTCTTCAGTTCTGTTCAGGGGTCTCAGGTTCATGAATTCAGCCAGTGGGTGGATAAACCCTCCTCTCCTAGACGCACACTTCTGTCTGTGATATGTACATTAGCCCAGTCTGTCTTCAGAAAGGCTTCTACTGACCCTGCTCCCACCAACTGATAACTCATCTCCTCCTTCCTTTCAGCGGCGCACTGAAAAGCTCATGCACTTCAGAGGCAGCCGTGTTCACTTCCTAATCTAGCACCATAGCTTAATACCTTAAGTGAATTGCATAGTTTCTCTCTAAGCCTAAAGTCTTCCGGGGACATGGGATCGAGGTTTATTCTTGGAGAGTTAGGGAAATGTTTGACACTGTGGGGCATTATTGTGAGTACTTAATAAAAATGGCCCCTTTTTTCTGCTCATCACACTCCCCCAAAACAAAAGCCCTGGTTTGTGAAAGTTACCAGGTACAGGAAATTTAAGAGTTCCAGCAAGCTTTCTGTTACTTTTGGAAACACTAAGCCTCTTATCACTCACTACTTACTCCTTGGCTCCCTACCCAACTCCATTCATTCTCTCTACTCCTGGGTTTTGAGCTTTGTTTTTCTACAGCTTCAGTGGCCCATACTCACAGTTCCTTTCTTAGACTAAGAAGTTCTTCTAGAGGACTTTCTTTCCCATCGATCAGGGGATGGGAATCAAGGGAGAGGTGGACTGAAAGGAGAAGGGCTTGCAGGGGGACCCTGAAATAAAAAATTTCGAAGGTTTCCCTTACAGGAATGTGGAATGGCCACTAAGATAACACTAGACCAATATTCTTTTTAGAGGACAAAAGGAGTTGAGTGAAAGCAGGGAGGCCGATGAACCGAGCTTGGTGGGCGGTGGTTTGGGGGGAGAGGTAACGGGGAAAGAAGGAAGACTTGGGGCTGTAAAGAAAATGGGGAGAGCTCCATCTTGGGATCTGCAGCAAGCGCAGTGAGAGCTGAGAGAAGGGGAGTGGGTGTAGGAAATGTGTGACAAGGGTGTAGGGTAGCACACCTGGAAAGATGGGAAATGAAAAGGTGTGGGTGGACTCGCTTCCCCCTTCTGAGTGGTCCTGGGGCGGGCCCTTGTTCCACTCTAGAATGTCCCTAGAGTTCCCCGGGGGGCTGCGGGACGGGAGGAGCCAGGACGGCGGGCGGGGCCCCGCGAGCTGCTCTGCCTCCGCCTTCGCCTCCACCTCCCGGCGGCGTCCTGAGCGCTCCCGTCGCTGGGCTCCCCTCCCTTCCGCGCTCTTGCAGGAGGGCGGAGCCGGGCCCGCTCCATTGTGGAGAGGAGGGGAGAAGCGCGCGGGAGCAGAGGCTGGGTCCTGGCGCCAGGGTTTCGCTTCTGGCCGCGGCTGCATCAGGCGGGCCCCGCAGCCGGGATGCAGCTGGCGCCCGGGGCTGGCGGGCAGCGCAGCGGCTCCGGGGACATGTGCGCTGGTTCAGACAGCCCGCGACCATGAGCCTGACCGCCCGCGTCTCCTGCTCCATGCTTAGCTGCTTCGTAAGTGCCAGGCCTGTCCTGCCAGGGCCTGGGGCGGGGGTGGGGGAAGCGCCTAACGCAGCCTGTACCCGCAGCCCCGCCCAAGGACCCCGGCACGACCCTAAACCTTAGGGGCAGGGTAGACGGGTTAGCTTTTTTTCTGACTTGCTTCAAGAAAGCTGGTACTGGGGGTTGTAGAAGGCCGGGGATGAAAATTCTGTGATTCTTTCTGGCTCTGCAGCCACTGCCCTTGACTGCAGCTTTCCAGGCCCCGCCCTGCAGGGGTACATCCCATTACCACCTCCTCACCATCTTGGTCCCACCCGCTACATCCTTGCTTGGAGATGTAGGCTGTGTCTAGTAGACTATGTGGGGTGTTAGGGGGCTGAACGAGAAGCTTAGATGTTTGTGAGCTCTCTCTAGGTCTCCAGGCCCTTCCCCCTCACACTCCATCCTTCACCTGACATACCAGTCTTCTCTCCTTGACTGTCCCCCAGACAGCCTCTTTTCTCCACCTTCCCTGCCTCCGCAGGGTTCTGTATCTCTGAATCATTCCCAGCCTTCCCCTCCTCCCCTCTGGCTAATGCTCCTTCCCAGCTTCCCCCATCTGTCCTCTCAGATGTCGTGCCCCCCCC